TGTATCATGTAACATTCCGGTTGCCAGGCAACTGCATCCTCCCCTGCCAGTATGAGCCGTAATTGGCTGGTGGCACAGAGGGACAGACGATGCCAGATAGAGCCGGCTCCACTGCTGCCTCCTACATTACGCTCCTGCCTGGTTGCTAGGCGACAAACTCGAGCATCCGTGCCTCCCTGACTTATAATTGGCTGGTGCTGCAGTCGCAGGGAGCACAGGTCTAAACCTGTCCTGCTTAATGTGGCTAGCTTGTGAATGTGTGTGAAAGGGAACGCAATTTAGTGCTCAAATTCTGATCTAAATATAGCTTGTTGTTGTTTTTACGGCTCAGAATGAAAGTGTGGCCGTCATGGAAGGTTCTTCATGCTAAACAACAAGTCGACACAAAATTAATTCACAGTCCATTTTACTTCCATAGTGGTATCTGTTTCAAAGTAAAACTGATGTTTAAATGTAGTTTTTTTTTTTGTTTTTTTTATGAATAAATTAACTTTTAAAATAAATAAATAAATAAGCTTTAAAATAACCAAATAAATAAACTTTTAAAAATAAATAAATAAAGCTTTAAATTAAAAATAAATAAATAAATAGTATTTAAAAACAAATAATAAATACATATTTAAAATAAACAAATAACTAAATAGGCTTTTAAAATAAATAAATAGTATTTATAAATAAATAAATAAATAGGTAACCTAATAAATAAAGAACATTTAAAATAAACAAATAACTTAATATGTATGTATATGCTTTTAAAATAAATAAATAAATAAATCGTTTTAAATAAATAACCTAATAAATAAATAAATAAAATAACCATTTTAAAATAAACAAATAACTAAATATGCTTTTAATAACCTAATAATCTAATAACCTAATGAATAAATGAAAGGCTATTTAAAATAAACAACTAAATAGGCTTTTAAAATAAATTAATAAATAAGCTTTAAAAAAAATATATATATATACATATATATATATATATATAAACTTGAATAAATGAAGGAATGAATGATCATTTTCAATCAATCAATCGCATGGGTAAAACAAATGTGTTGTAAATGCTAGTACTTCCTACCTGAAACTACTTGGTTATTTGTTAACATTATATCATGTCAGTAAAAATTAATGTTGCTTGAATTTTTTTTTATTAAAAAAATTATCTTTTTTTATGTTTTTTTGTAGACTAACATGTATTAAGATAGTAAATAGGATCAATTTTGATTTCATATTTGAGTTCATGTTGATTTAATGACCGCTAGTTAAATTTTGGAGCTGTGTTTGCATGAAAATCTGACTTATTTTATCGTCAAGCAATTTATATGAAGCCACAGTCTTGTTTCAGAAGATTTGTAGATGTGGCAAACAGTGGAGACGGGGCCAGCTGGTTGACAGTAAATATGAGGTTCTTCCCCATTACCCATCATTACTACTCCAATTATCACCTCTCCCAGAGATCCAAATAAACTCTGCCTGCGCCCCATTTCATACGTTCCTTTCAGTGCGCTAATGAACGAGCGATGAGACCCCATACGAACCGCAGCTCTGCTACAAGGCAGCTCCCATCCACAACGAAAACATACAACATCAAAAATGTGAACGCAGTCTCTCACATCTGTTAAACGCAGTGAAGAACTCATTGGAAGCTCATCGAGTGCGAGTTCATTTGGTCCAACAGCTGTGCGCTCTAATGACGATCATGTATTTCATAAACTCCAATTGTGTCAACACTCTTCTGATAGGCTAATCAACTTAAAACAAATGAATTAGACGGCTGGCTGGACCGAGTCGCTGATTTCAAGGCCCCACGAGGAAGAAAGTGCATTTTTAATCAGGTGTGTGTGCATCTGTTTGTGTGTCTTTATCAGGGGAGAAGCCGTACAAGTGCTCATGGGAAGGCTGTGAATGGCGGTTCGCGAGAAGCGATGAGTTGACGAGGCACTACCGCAAACATACCGGCGCCAAGCCTTTCAAGTGCAATCACTGCGACAGGTGAGTCAAAACACCAGACGATCACTGTGTGACGCCTACAAATGCTAGCTGATATGTCACATTTTTTAAACTTCATATTACAACTTATTATACCTCATATAATAATATTACACTTCATAATATGAAGTGTGACATGACATCAAACAGTGACAATGCAATACTTCAAATTATTTATTTATTTTTTATTTTAAACCTTTTTCATTGTTGTATAATTATCATACATGCAATATGATTCAATTCAATTCAATTCAAGTTTATTTGTATAGCGCTTTTCTGGACTTTGCTATCCTAGGTACTACCAAAAGTCCAGAGTTTTGCGACCTTAGGGAGCGTGATGGATTGTAGCGTGGTAGAAGACTAGTTAGGTACGCAGGAGCTAACCCATTAAGGGCCTTATAGGTAAGTAATAATATTTTGTAACTGATATTGAATTTAATAGGTAGCCAGTGCAGAGACTGAAAAATTGTGGTAATATGATCATATTTTCTTGGCATGGTAAGGACTCTAGCCGCTGCATTTTGGACTACCTGTAGCTTGTTTATTGAAGATGCAGGACAACCACCTAGCAGTGCATTACAATAGTCCAGTCTAGAGGTCATGAATGCATGAACTAGCTTTTCTGCATCAGAAACAGGTAACATGTTTCGTAGCTTGACAATGTTTCTAAGATGGAAGAATGCTGTTTTTGTAACGTGGGAAATATGATTTTCAAAAGACAAGTTGCTGTCTAATATAACACCCAGATTTTTGACTGTAGAGGAAGTAACAGTACATCCGTCTAGATGCAAATTGTAATCCAAGAGATTCTGTGTACTCTTTTTTGGTCCAGTAAGTAATATCTCTATCTTATCCGAATTTAATAGGAGAAAATTATTTTACTTAAATTATTTAATTTTTTACATTTTTAACACACTCTGTTAGCGTAGATAATTTAGAAGTTTCATCTGGTCTTGTTGAGATATATAGTTGAGTATCATCAGCATAACAATGGAAACTAATCCCGTATTTTCTAATAATATTACCAAGGGGCAACATGTATATTGAAAATAGCAGAGGACCTAGGACAGATCCTTGTGGCACTCCATACTTTACTAGTGATAATTGAGATGACTCCCCGTTTAAATAAACAAAGTGGTAGCGATCGGACAGGTAGGATCTAAACCGTCTTAAAGCCTGCCCTTGAATACCTGTTGAGTTTTGTAATCTTTGTATGAATGAGACATGTACATGTAATATTAATTTCTAAAATGTACACAGCAAGACAATTTAATGGTGACCAGCACCTAAGGTAGACAGTTTATCTGTATATATTAATGCAAAAATACTATTTTGTAATTATAAATATTATAAAATATAAAAAATGAAATATAAAAAATGTATAAACAAGTAATAGTTATATAATTATAATATAATTAATTAATATATTATAATTATTTATAATTAATTAAAAAAAACTAATATTTTATGATACTTCAGTATTTTGTAATTTCAATAATAACAACAAATCAGCTTCATTTAGTTCTTACTAAGCCTCGTTTAGTTCTAGCACCTTGAAGGGATTTTGGGAATATTTGGTCAGCAATTTGTGTAACCTGATTTATATCTTAAACATTATTTTTAATGGCAAAATCTAACACAGGTGTCCTGGGTCTAAAAATGTGATGAATAGTCTGAAATCTTTTCATTTTCAAATCTCTATCCAAGATGGTCCACCTGTCACCTGTGCCAGTAGATGTAGCTTAATGATTAAAAACATCTGCTATTCAGACAATGGTTTCTCTGTATTCACCAGGTCTTGTAGACAAGCTTTCAGATTGAACGTGGTGAGTGACAAGTAGAGTCATCTGTTGCATTTCTTCTCCAATTACATTTACATTAGTGTTGTGGAAGCTAAAATGTCCTAAAATATTTCTTTCTGTCTTATGTTGAATTGAGAGGTCGAATTCATTCTAGTGAATCCGTTTGTTTTGACAGTCAAGTACAACAAGACAACACAGAACAAACTTGTCCAAAGAAAGGGACACTTATTTATTTGATTCCCAGCATTGCATTGTACTATATAGTAGAGGTCTTCACGGGTCCAAAAATTCATAAATTTGCTGCACGGAACCGACCCGGACCCGTATTTTATTTGAAAGTGGGACCCGAACCCGGCTAGGAACACACAGACCCGACTGCACCCGATCGGCACATATTGCACAGCAAACTGCTATTAACAAGTCAACAAGTTGCGAAATAAAAAAAAACATTTTGGCATAGGCTACCTACTGTTAGTAGCCTTCTCCCTGACTGCGATGCATACAATCCTCCTTGCCAATAAATTTCCATCGATGTTAGGCTGTTCTTCTCTCTTGCCGACTGAAAGAGCCTTCTTAATCCACTCATTATTCCAGCTTCAAAAGTCTACTTGGTGTCACGGTCGGTGACGGATGACTAATGCAACTTTGCAGTTTTTTTTTGTTTGTTTTTTTGCATCTCGAGTCAACTTTGACTGTTACGTTTACCCTTTTGAACTACAATAACGATACTTTTTGTTGGTTGTAATAAAGACTCAGAGCAATTATTTTTTAGCAAAAAACGCACAGAACAAGAAGTGCGTTACACTTTACTGTGTGCGTGTTCAATAACACGTACGTCTCTTCAGTTTTGTTTCATCTTTTTTTTCACATCACTCATGTTTACAGATTAAGGGGCGGTAATATTATAATGAGATCCTTTTGCCACGTCACCAAGGGAGCGAAATCTGACGCACTCGTTTTCTCAGATGCTTGCAGAAAAAGGCTTACCAAAACAAAGTTACGTTTCCTTGGTTGGTAGATACACCAGGGACCTGATTATAGCACTTAAAACCTGGAAAAGTCAGATTTTCATGATATGTCACCTTTAAGTCAATAAACAAGTTGCGGGAAAAAAAAAAAAAAACTTTTTGCCTTAACTACTGTTAGTAGCCTTCTCCCTGACTGCGATGCATACAATCCTCCTTGCCAATAAATTTCCATCGATGTTAGGCTGTTCTTCTCTCTTGCCGACTGAAAGAGCCTTCTTAATCCACTCATTATTCCAGCTTCAAAAGTCTACTTGGTGTCACGGTCGGTGACGGATGACTAATGCAACTTTGCAGTTTTTTTTTGTTTGTTTTTTTGCATCTCGAGTCAACTTTGACTGTTACGTTTACCCTTTTGAACTACAATAACGATACTTTTTGTTGGTTGTAATAAAGACTCAGAGCAATTATTTTTTAGCAAAAAACGCACAGAACAAGAAGTGCGTTACACTTTACTGTGTGCGTGTTCAATAACACGTACGTCTCTTCAGTTTTGTTTCATCTTTTTTTTCACATCACTCATGTAGGAATCCATGATCACCGTCCGCTTGCAGTAGCCTACTAACATTAACTCCGCCCGCGCTCTGCCTCTGGCGGCTGAGGTCACGCAAATTTTTTCTTATTGCCCGATCACACTTTTCTCATCCTAATTTTACAAGTTGCAAGTTACAAAACATATGCAAAGTGCTGACTGTCACTGATCACTGGCGGGTGCGGTGTTCTCCGATCGACTCGTGGAAATTACACACAATGTTAAACAGACCCGGGACCCGAAGTAATAGATTGGGACCCGACCCGTACCCGGCTGACCATTTAAAATATTTCTCAGGAATCACCATTTCTCGAGCCTTTGATAATCCATCATCATTCACGTGAACAAGCAACGATTTGCCTCAGATTTTGGGGTGTTGTCCGCAATCTTTGGAAATTGGGCCAAAATCACATATTATTTACCTGAAGACATCTAAACCAGTTGTGTTTTCAGATATTGTTAACTTAGTTCCAGCAATAACAGTTCTGTCTTAGACATTACTAAACTGAAATATTCAGAACGCTCCACACAAAAGCTGTAATCAATGCAAATGCATGCTGGTACGCTCTAAATGTCCCAACATACTTTACATGGAAGTACTTTTATTTCATAAAACATAAACATCATAAAATATAAGAAAGTATGCATTTCCATTTGGGTACAAAGCTAAGCACGCAGATCTGTGCTTTCTTTCAGAACATTTTCAAATTGGGCGCAGTGCCTGCGAGACAGTTGCCTCCTGGTATTGACCAAGAGCTTCCTCCTCTGAAGTGAATCTTAACTCGTCTTCGCTTTGATGTATAAATAGGTCCTTCATGCTTGTTAGACTTGCGTATCTCACTTTGAGCTCAGCTCCGCCCTCTCTTGTCATCCTGGCTGCTTGTACACCTTGGGGAATCCATTCTGCCGTTGTCGAGGGAGCCCCGGATTACCATTACAATGATGGAGTTGACAGGAACAGTGGAGAGCAGCATGCGGAGGGGCTCCCCGTCTCGTCTGAACAGTAAATACAGTAGACCGAGATGCTAGACCTGTAGCCGTGGCCCTCAGGCCCCTTCTTAATCCGGCCCGACCGTGTCCGGACCCCCTGTCAGGACAGCAGTGTGGGGGTGTGGAAGAGGGTGGAGGTACACCAGCTGGTTTGGTGCCTTCTGGCAGTGGCTTGATCTGCCATCTGTCCGATCCTGCCAAAAACACACCCCTTGATTTCCCAATTCATGTTCCTCCCCTTGCCTTTCCAGGACAGGTGAGACTTAGCATGAAAGCATATGTCTTAGGGACGGGTCAAGATGCTCCAACAATCAATAGGTTTATCTAGACTCTCATTTTTTTTATCTTTAAGAGAATGTTAAAAATATAACAACAATAATAATAATTATTATTAGTATTAGTATTAGTATTATTGTTGCATAATAATAATAATAATAATAATAATATTACATATAATAAAAAATAATAAGTATTATTATTATTATTATTAAAATAATAATAATTGTATTTCCTTCAGACAATGTATATATTTAGTTGTTATTTATACACCATTATTCATACTTACACAGTGTTATAAAATAAATTTCACATTATTCACAAGAATATAAAGTTAAACAATGATTTTTTTGTTGTTGTTAATTTTAATCAATTTATTATTTGGACAACCATTTTTTATATATATGTACTGTATATATATATATTTTTTTTTTTTTTTTTGACACTAAAATAAAAATAAAAAATATTGTAAAAAGTTATGGTAACACCTTAGATTAGGGAACACATATTCTCTATTAACTAAGAATTTTCCCACAATAAGCTCCTAATTTTGATGCTTATTGGTAGTAAGTAACCTTTCTTGCTACCAATAAGCAGAAAAGTATGAGTTTAGTTGTTGTAGTAGTTATGTTTGGGTATTTGGTAGTGTTAAGAGATCTAGAATATGGTCATGCAGAATAAGGCATTCATATGTGCTTTATAAACAGCCAATAAGCTAGTAATATGCATGCTAATAAGCAACTAGTAAATAGTGTTCCCTAACCAAAATGTTACCAAAGTTATTTAAGAGACGTAATTTAAAAAGCTGAAAGCTCTTATAATCAATCCTTTAAAACAAAAAAAAAGTTCTCCTTACTGTTCCAGCTCATCCATTTTATGTGTCGTCAGATAATATTGAGATACAATCAGCGCCAATACAATCAAACCCGTTGAACGTTTCCAACCAAATGGAATATTGATAGAAGATCCAGATTTCAGATCACACAGGTTTCCTAATCAGTTCTTTTTTTCTTCCCCCTCAGGTGTTTCTCTCGATCTGATCACTTGGCACTGCACATGAAGAGGCACATCTGAGGAGGAGGAGGTGGCAAAATGGCGAGGTGGAGGAAGAGATGGAAGGTAGAGGATGAGAAGGAGAGGGATTATGGGAAGAAGCCGGATACCACTCAGGCCATTCGCTCATCCCACCAGAGAGTGGCCTCCTGTAGGGGAACCGATCAGCACGGGCTGAACTCAGACCAGGTCTTTAGGTTTGGTCGGCCACGTCTGACCATGAGGATGGAAATTCGGAGGTCTACAGATCTGAGAAGGTGGTATGACATCTTATGTCACTTAAAGACAACGTGCTTCAGTAGGTATTTGCCTAATGCTCAAAACATCAATGACTTGATTTAGATACTATTATTCCGTTCCAACTTCTCTGAGAACCATTTAAAGCTTTCATCAATTTTACATAGAGTACGTCTTACGCAGATTGTCAAACAGACCAACTACCAATGCACCTGGTTTGATTTACTGCACCGTGCAAGATGTGTCCCAAAATCATCTCCTTGAGAACCTTTGGAGAACATCGTAGCGATAGGATGCCAATCCAAAGAGATGGATTTTTCTTTGTTTCCCATTTTGAGAGAGGATTATCTTTCTGCTTTGATCCCACCAATCCACAGCCAAGATGTAAAGTGGAACGTCCATCCGGAGAAATCTGGATTTCAAAGGTAAAGTGGAATCACCCATCGCTCAAATGTGAATCTGACTGGGGGCAGTGGAGGAAACACTCTTACAGTACCTTCTTCGTAGACAGACAAATCTCTCTCTTTCACGTCCCTCCTTGCCAACCAACCGCTGCGCAGCGACACTTTGAGACTTTTTATAAAGGAAAAAAAATAAAATTAAAATAAAGAAGAGATCTTTTTGAATGATGACTATGTTATATAATTCAGAAGACTTCTTTTTTGCTTTTCTCCCGTGGATGTGTACAAAATAGAAAAAGAAAAAGAAATAAAAATGGACCAAAAAAAAAAAACTGCCATATGCACAAGCGAAGAGTAGTGGATTCTACACTGGCACAGACCGCATCTGAGGTGGACTTCATTTCTATAGAAACGCAAACTTTTAGTGGCGAAAAGAAGTAAAGCAATGTTGTTGTTTGCACACGTTTTGAGCATTCCTCAACATTATTTATGACCCATGAAACGTTATCCCATAAACTTGGGTTCCTTCGGGATTTCTAGGACTAGCATGAAATGAGAAAAGCACCATGGTTTATCTGCGGACTTCACTACAGAATAATGACTTCCATCATTCAAGGCAGAGATTTGCAATCACAACGTTTAGAAATTTGTAAATGCATCACAGTATGTCCCGAAAAACTGTCCGGACAGACATTTCCCATCAGTTATTTTAGTTTGCACGGATGGAAGCATCATAAGAAAGGTGTGCATTGTGTTTCTCTGGTCCTGCAGGAGACATCTACATGTTTAGACTTTGTGATGGGGTTTTTTCTTGCACATTACATATCTGCCTTGTGTTCCTGGTAAAAACAGCTGTACAGTGTGTAAATTGTATAGTAAAAGTGAGGTTTAAATTACAACGTACAATCAAGTGTAGGATGGAAAGTGTTCCTGAATGTAAGGTTGTTTGATTGTGGATGGCCCTGCACTTATGCAATCATTCAGACCACGGAAAGGCCTGATCTGCTAAAGATAGATCCCACTGTGGCTCATGCATGAAGATCTACACAAATGCATGTTGATGAAGGAATAATTCACATCAAATGAGAAATCGGTCATCGTTTACTCACCCTAATGTCATTCTAAACCAGTATGACTTTCTTTCCTTGATGGAATGCAGAAAATGTTTAGAAGAAAGTTATTTTTCCTACAATGAAAACAGGAATGGAGGCTGTCAAACTCCAAAAAATGGCATGGAAGCACCATAATACATAGTGACTGTATTTCAAGACTTGTGTGAAACAGACCAAAATTTAACTCATTCTCACTTCCATATTTTCGAAATGGCAACAAACAATTATAAGACATGGAAAAAACATTGGCTTTAGGACTTCAAATGTATCTTCATGCATAAAGTTTGCATGAACAAAGCTATACTACGTTCATTTTCAGATTTCATTTGAAATATAAGTTGTATGGACTGCTTTTATGTTATATATAATAATAATAATAATGTTATATATCACTTATATATATATCATAAAAATTCTGTTAAAGTCATACAGCTTTGGACCAACATGAGGGTCAGTAGTGTGTGAACTATCCCTTTTCCAACAACCTGATATAGTGGTTTTGTTCGCATTGTGGTGTAAACCACATTTGTATGATTGAAATCAGAGGCCCAGATCTGAAGATGTATAAAATGAGCACAAAAAAACATAGATTTATTTTTAACCGTTGCATATTGTATATAAACATCAAGATGCTGATTCAAAGACTTCTAAACCCCTGAGATCAATGCATAAACAGAATCTAAATTTAATTTTGGACAGCATAAACATTTTCATTTTTTTTGCATATCATGACAATTATTAACCATATCTACAGATCAAAAAACCCCATCTGGATCATATCACCCCAAAAATAGGTGATGGACAAGGATATTCATGTCTTGTTCAAGCCGTCTGTCAGTTCCTTGCCCTTCTCACTCACTTGTCTAACACGGACCAACGGGAGGCCCGTCTGACAGAATGGCAGTATGAGTAATGAGAAAGGAATTGGGCTCTCCCGGCAGCGGCCAGCGCTGGTCGCCCCCTCAATGGGGCGGAACGGAGTAGGACCACACTGGGGGTCGCACGCCACACTTATGCTGACCGGGAGATCTTATCGCAGCCGCCCGACACAGTCAATTTCACCGTGTAGCCGGGTGTCAGCTTACCTCCCTCCCTGGCTACATTAGCTCCATGAAAAATAACAAAGACACAAGGTCACCGGAATCCAGAGCAGAGTCGCGTACATCCAATGTCCTCAAGAGACCATCATACGGGCCACTTTTCCAGCTAAAATCTAGTGCATGAAATGTGCTTTTCATAGAGGATTTAAGACTGCAACCTGAAATGCTACAATTTATCTTTTCAGTTTGTAGTTCAGAAAAGATGATCTTGGGCTATGCAGACTAGGAAGCAAAGCATCATTTTGTCCCACATTTTTGGGCAACACAATCCAATGTAACATCTCAAAAACTATTAGAAGATCAATTCTGTTGATCATGTATGCAAGATAATAATTTCAGTTTGACAAGAAGTTAGATTTGAAATAGATGCAAATAATGGCATCAGGTATTTATTTTAGGGTCAGTGGCGAGAAGGATGAACTGCATATGAGAAATAATATCATAGAACCTGTCAAAAACATGTTGCATATTTCACCCCAAAAAAAATGAAAGAAATAATATTGAGATTAAGTAAGACTTTTTTTTGCATTGTGACATTATTACCCAATTCTCATTTAAAGCTGCAGTCTGTAACTTTTTTTTTATAAAAAATTATCCAAAATCAATTTTTTGGCAAGTACATAACCAGCCAGTGTTCAAAACTCTCCTCACCTTAGCCCAATTCACATTGGTAAGCTTATAACAATGAGTGATACTGGTAGGTTTTCGCGGGAAATACAAGCATGCTGCCGTTCGTCTTAGCATCATTACTTCACATCTGTAAACATAAAGAATGAGTTAGTAGGCTATTTCGCATGTGAGGATGATGCATGTGGCGCATCAATAATAGCCTTTTCTCACAGCAGCATTTTGATGGCGGATTGTAATCCAGAAAGGTCCAAATGACAATCATCAGTGACAACTGGAGATTCACCTGTAATGCTAATATACAATAAATACAAGTAGTCACGTGATGCTGATGTTAACATTAACATTTTGAGAACAAAGTATAACAATAATAATAATTTGCATGGTTTTATGTGGTATGAGCTAAGCGATTGTTAGATTATCACCATTGGGAGCGTGATGTATTGTAATGCTTTTTTCCTCAGTTGGTCAGAACAAAAGTGGCAGACATGTTACTTACTTGTTCAGTTGACACATTTTCTGGTGCAAATTCTTATTTGGGTCACACTTCCAAGACGTAAAACTCGGTGATTCTGAAGTACAGTGAATATCCACACCAGTGCGGTGACTGACAGCCACACATACTCCTCAAAACATTAGATTAATCCGCGCTGAGGAGCCGTGCCGATGCACAACCCACATAAAGATGATAATTCTGCAAATTACTGCAATTGCAGGTTTCAAACAGAGATGGCGACAAAGAGGCAAAACCTATGGACTGCAGCTTTAAATAAAAAATTTAAATGTAAATTTAAATATTGAATATATTTAATAAATAATATAAAATCTAATAACTATATATGTATATTTTAAAATATATATATATATAGAGAGAGAGAGAGAGAGAGAGAGAGTTGGGGATTAAATGTGCATAAACAGTCATGACAATATTGTCACAATGCAAAATAATCTTTAAATAGGCTTCTTAAAAGGCAATTTTAGGTGAAATATGACCTAGGCATTTCTCGTCAGGTTTTGTGAGGATTCACAATGTACCTGGATGCTCATGGGATAGAAATAGTGTTCACGTTAAACTTCTCATTGAGCTTGTCATGTTCACTAGAAGTTTTCCTTGTGGACTTTTGACCATTTTTTCACTTTAAGTGTACCTTTTTCCTAAAATCCTTCTTTAACATTCTCCAGCCGGACCGATTAGGGATGTTACCTTGGCAAAAACTAGCTAATGAGTTTGTCTTAATGGTCCTGAAGAACCCCACAGAGCAGCTCGTTGTCTGCTTTTCAGGGCTTGTTTTATATGCACTGTCTTTAGTTTCTCTCAAGTGTGTATAAACCTTGTATGTTACCCACTTAAACAGCTTTTAAATCGCATACAACTAACTGACCTTTTTGATGAGATAATGCAATTATTTGTAATTACCGATGCACACTTGCAGGTACGTTTTTACATTCGACAATGTAAAAGTTCCATCCTAAAGATCTGGCATGAGCTGAGACACTACTAGACATGCAGGGAACACTAAATTAGGAGTTTGAATGCATTTCACATCTCGTGATACTATGATTAGTCCGTTTTAGAAGTCTGCTGCACATTGTTTTTGGATTGACGCATTCGTCTGTACGTTCACGTTAGCCGCTGGTCTCCATTCGCTCACTAGACATCTGAAGCATTGTTTTCTTTGTACCCTTCTATTGCTCAAAACGCTGTGCTAAACGCTTTCAAATGGATGGTATGAAGCTGATAAATAGAGTGATTTCCAATGTTCGTTGCACTCGTAGCGTAGTTTTCCACACTTCCTGTTGTAAATTAAATCTGTTTCGATCCTTCTGCTTTTCGCTGGCATTTCATGCTTTCCACTTTGCTCCTATATTTATGCCGTTTTTTTATTTTTATGTTTTTTGTTTTATTTGCTGTAAAAAGTGTTTGCATATATTATTTGTATTATATGATGTTAGTATGACAATGTTCTTTATTAAGGAAAAAGGAAAAGAGTTTATTTTTGTTACTGGTTTGTTTCATAATTCTTTTTTAAATTGGTATTGTAATATATCTATGCAAGAACTGTTAAGTGAAGCATTTTTATTTAAGAATGTCATTATGTGTAATAAATGGTAGAATCTTACTGATATTGTAGTCTCCTTGTTATTTTTAACCCATTTTAGATGCCCTGAAGTCAGAATGTCTTGGAATAATTCTACATCCATTTCAATAAGGAATGTATACTGCTAATGGAATTTCTATAATTTGGAATCAAAAATAATAAATTATTCTAATGGGATCAAAAAAAGTAATTTCCGAGAGAAAAATGTTTCCAAATGCCAATGCCAATTGCTTAAAAAATTGTGGTTTTATTTTTGTGGTTGGATTCTGTTTCATGTGAATTAAGGTAATCAAACTCTGAATCCACAACCACAATTCAGAGATATAGGCTATATAAATATTATATAATTTAATCATTAACCAAAAAAATCATAATTAAAATAATGTGCAAAATAGATTTCTCAGACTGCTGTGCATTTCTGAGTGAAAACTGTTTCTAAACCAATTTTTTTTTTCATTGTATATTAATGTACAACTTTTGATGTAATGCAACATTAATCCACATATATATATAATGTGTAATATAAAAAAATTGTAAATATAAAGGAAAAATAAAAATTGTATGGAATATATCAAGTTTGTTATCAATGTATATATATCTATATCTATCTATATATATATATATGTGTGTGTGTGTGTGTGTGTGTGTGTGTGTGTGTGTTTGGATTCTGTTTCAAATAAGCAAACTCTGAATCCACATCCACAATTCACAGTACAATATAAATTATATAAATAAATCTAACAGGATGTTTGGGGGGAAAAAACCCTTCATAGTTGAAATCATTTGCAAAATAATTTCCCCGATTACTGTGCATCAGCAGAGAGAGAAAAGTAAAAATCTTGCGAGAAAATCTTGCGCAGTCTCTTACACTTAATAAACGAATGGCTTCCTTGTAGCTATTTGATTCTTAATTACAACCCGAAGATGCTCATGAATATATGTATGCATCTTTCTCTCCATCTCTCCATCTCTGCCTCTTTATCTCTCTCTGCTTGTCTCCATCTTTCTCTGCCACTGTAGTGCAGTCTCTCTCATCCCTCTCTCGCTGTATTTTCCCTCGCTCGCTGTGTTGCAAATTTGGAGGGTTGATAACCAAGTTGATGATTTCTCTTCCATTTATTAAGCCTTTGCCCGTGACAAACAGATAAAAGGGTAATTCAATAACTAATGGATAATTAGGGTGCAATTACGTACAAGAAAATGGCCTTGCTCAGTGTATTAATTCTGCAAATGTATTCGGTATGGGTTATTCCCAAAAGGTTCCTCATCTATAACTAATGTACATAATTGAAACGGGCACCCTCATCTTACGATTCATTCACTTGTATCTGTCTGACTTATTGCCTATCATTTTACAATTACACTGACATGATGGTTCATGTCTAGAGTGCTTTGGGGACTGCGAATCCATTTGCAATAGAGAAAAATCTCTGAATATGATGTTCCTTTCACTGAAATAGTGAATCACACAAAACCTGCTGTCCAGAT